CATGGTTGGTACAAACCAAACATATATGTTTTAGTTTTTGTAGGTATATACTTTTACCATAAAGAAAAATATAATAAATGTTGGTCAACAAATATTAAGAAACAAAGTCTGAGTTAAAAGTATAATCCACCAAAGAAATTTAAAACTATCTAAAAGTGTTTTTTAAAGAATTATTTTATGTTCGTCTTTACAATACCTTTTATACCTAATTATTCTAATTAATTATTTCCACAATTCCGAATAATTTAATTAATTTATAATAATAATTCTAATAATTGATCTCCTTTATCAATAAAATATAGATTTAAAACATCTACCTTTCCAACATTTTGAAAAGTTTTGTTTTTCCACTGTTCTTAAAAGGAAAACCAACAACCCAAAACGGAAAATCCAACGCACCGACTGCGTTGCTTTTTCCCAAGGCAAGCCGAGGCTCTGGGCCCGGCCCGGTCGGTATTGGAGTGCTAGTGTTAGTGTTATTTACCAGGCTAAATTATTAAACGATTGTTAAACGAGCGGATAAAGGATGAGCGTGAATGATGATGATGATGCTGCTACCCAGGGAGGAAAAAGCAAAAAAGCAGAGGGGGAGGTGGTCCTGACAAGAGGGTGTAAAGTCCTGGGACCGGCAAAAGCCTTTTGGGTGGATGGGAGGTGGGGGGTTAAATGGGAGGCTGCTGCCTTGTTAGCTTGCCAGCTGAAGGGGAAATTTGATATTAGGTAAATTTATTTGATTTACATTTTTATGGGGCAACCGCTTGGCTTACAGGGTGGTTGAGTAATTCCAAGGCGGGTGGCATTTTCCCTGTTGTTTGCCAACGTCGTTGTCGTTGGCGTTCTCGTCGTCGTCCTCCTGCGCTTATCTCACTTAATGCCGGCAATGAAGATAAGAACTTGTCTAGGGTAGAATACGGAATAATGCAATGAACACCTAATAGAATAAATACAAAATGAATTAATAAAAATGGCTTGCGTCCAAGCGGCAAAGAAAAACTCTTAAACGAATTTTTGACGCATGTCAGAGCGTTTTTTGTTCACAATTATTAAGTAAGCTAACAGGGTGCACAAGGGAAAAATTAATAAATTTGATGTTTAGGTAATATTAGGTTACTGATCTTAAGAATAAGCAGAATCTGATCCTATAAGAAGTTATCCTTTGCGAGGAGTAATATAATTAATTTATAGAGAGAGTGTATTTATTTTCTTACTTTTTCTCATTAATTATAAAATATGATAGATCTATTTTACATCTCATAGTCTACTTTTATGATCCTTTTTTGAGAAGCTCTTTTTTTTCGCTGTAAAAATTGAATCATGAAGGGGAAACTGCTGTCAATCAACCACCCAGCGATCCAGTCCACCCACCCGGGCAATCAGTGCCAAATCAGAACTTTATTTATTTGCTTGTTGTTTGCCAAACATTTACGCCATCAGCAAAACGACACCCGAGAGCTCGTTAAATGCTCAGCCATGCGGATGTAATTCAATAAACGAGCGCTGCGCCATCATCAACACCCAACCGTTTAGCAAAGTGTGTGTGCCCGTGTGTTGGTGAGTATCTGTGTGAGGCAGCCGCAATTGCCACAACAGCCGCTGTGACTAAATGACTGACTGACAACCGCATTGTGTGCCGGTGTGTGTGTGCTTGCGAGTGTGTGAGGGGGATGGTTTATTTACTCGCCGAACAACCCCTCGAAAGCATCCCCAACCACCGTATATCCCCCTCTCTTGCGCGCCGCCAACCGCCATCTCTTTTCATCCTGCGTGCCCTGGCTCAATAACGTTTATTGAGTCGAATTTCGCACCAGCCTCGCCTGTCCTTCGTCCTGCGTCCTTCTGAACATTTCTGAACTGTCAACATGTCAACTGTTGGTTGGGAAAGTTGTTTTTGGGACGTCGTATTTGCCCGGGGTGGGTGGAATCTCTTTTTCGGCCTGTTTAAGCGATTTAACGCATCGCAAGGATAATAAAATTTTGATTATGCACCGCTTGGGTGGCTTCACTGCCTGTGACTGGTTGCTGGGTCTCTACAAAATTAGCTTCATTTAGAAGATCCCTTTTGATAGTGGGAGATGGGGTTTAAGTTCAAGGGATGGCTAATTATTCTCAGGGCGGAAAAGGCCAAAATCTCATTAGCCGTTAGTATTTTTTTTAAGAAAAACAAGAATGATTCATATTCATGAGAGTTTGCTTTCAAGCCTTTCTATTTAATTGTCATTGCCATAAACAATTTGCTGAGGTAATAATTATTCACTCTCGGATACGAACAATTATGCAATTCAATTCTGTATTAATTGCACAATAAAACACCAAATTCTCATTTAATTGCTGGACAAAACAAAAAAAAAAAACACACCAAGCCAAAGCAACAGCCCACATAAATAGGCAACACCCACGCTTACTATAGCCCTCGCCCTCGCATCTCCTTCCTATAGCTTTCAAGTGAATAAAATCAAACAAAAAATCAAAAAAAAAAAAATCGGTCGACGGGAAATATAAATACGAAAAATTATGAAAAACTATCAAAACATTTACATACGAACTGTGGAGTCGGGAACTGGAATGAAAAACCGCTGGCTCTTTACGATCGACGCAGGCAGTGTTGATAATTAGGCTTTTTTAAAGCCAGTATCGGGTTTTATAATATGATCCTATTATGTAATAAAAGAAAACTTTTAGGGCAAAACCTCTTAAAAGTGTTTTATTCAGACCCGGTTCCGACAAGATCGTTTTTTATTTGGATTATTTTAAATAATCAACGGTTTTTTGCTATCTCTAATTTAAGCCGATTGAAATTTATTAAATTATTTAATTTAATTTTTTTATATACATAAATATATGTATATAGATAAAAATATTAAATATAAATGAAATTGAAGTAGTTGTGTCAAGTTTTTCTTCTTTTTAAGTAACAAAATGAGTTTTTGGAAGAGGTATTGTATATCATTGGGAAAATCTTCCAGTTTAAGTCCCAAATCTTCCAAGCCATTTAAAATTTTCCATTTGGCTATTTTTACAATGCGCACTTGGCAGCACTGCACGCAGCCAAATCGGCGGCCATTTATCAATTGACCAAGTTGGCCGAAGCGTGGACTTGGTGTTGGTTGTTGGTGCTTTTGTTATTGGCCGACTTGCTGCTGCCTTGCCGGTTTCTTTTCATCTCTGGGTTGCTGGCCAGGAGGGGGAGTGACTCGCGTATGATGTTTATTGAAAAATTAATTTGCGCCTCGTTTTTGTATTTCTTTTTTCGGATCTCATTTGCGTATTTCAAAGCGCAATGAATAATGATGGTGGTTAAGTAGAGGAAAAAAGAAAAGAAGCACTCGACGTGCTTGGCCTGAGAAATTAATATTTGTAATTGGCTATAATTGTTTATGCCAACGGCCACAAACTTTAGAAAATGAGACGCAGACAATGATATTAATGAGCAGTGGCCCGCCGAGCCGACATCTCATCACATTTTGTTGCCATTTCGAAATGTTTAATTGAAAAGAAAGCGACATGGCCGGGCTTTATAATGAAGTGCTCAACTTTGGGAACTGGGGAACTATTTTAATCAGTGGAAGCGATGTGAAGGGCCGTTCCATACCATAGATCATGTGTTAATTGAATGGCTGGGAAATGTGTGAAGATTATAATTGAAACTGCTGTTGGGTTCTAATTATGGGAATTGAAAAAAAATAATATGAATCAATAACTAATCAGCCTTATCAATGTAATACTTCTGTATATAATCGACTAATTAAGACCAACAGTTTCTAATTGAGCTCTTTATTTGACTCCCAATTATCATTAAAATACTCTACCAGCTTGTCGTCCTGCAAAGACTCCACCACCAGAATCGTCCGCCACATTTCCCCTTTTCACCCCTTTCGGTGTCCTTTCGAGCAGCGGAAAACAAAAGCAACGCCGAACAATGGCGGGAAAAGTTTTCAAGCCAACAATTTCACATAATAATCCTTAAAATGAGTTTAATTTGTAGAGTAAAATTATAAGAAGAGTGGGACGGAAAACGGAAGAGAGAGGGAAAAAGGATGCAGAGTAGGGGATCCTTTTATTTTATGGAATTTATTCACAAACCCCATTATAAAGTTTCATTTTTGGGCATTAGACTGGGAGAGGGCTTGCGAAATTCCATATAATCCTGAATGTTTCGTATTTTTATGTGTGTATCTCCGTGTGTGTGATTGATTTGCCTGGGTCCAGGGATGCTCGATTTATGTTCCCCGATACGATTTTTATGGCTTATCTTTGAGGTGCGCACCGAAGGACACATAAAAGAGCAAAGTCGAAGGACCAGAAGGGAGGAAAAAAACATAATTTCCTGACCGAGATGGCAGCTTTGCGATAATACAGCCTGCCAGCGTCTCTTTTACGTTTGACGATGCTCTGGCCCTGATAATGATGGGCTTATTATTTATTATATTGTTATTTTCGGTAAGGACATTTATTAGCCGGTTGCTCATACGCCATGGAGTACCAATTAAATTGGCTTCCCCCCGAAAAAGACCTGCCGCCAATAATGTCAGTCAAATGAAGCCATGAAAAAGAGAGACGACATCAGCTAACAAAAAAAAAAACAAGAAACAATAATAAAAATCAAGAAAAACCAAAGAAAAGCGAGAAAAACAAAGTGGAAGTGGACAAGCGATTGCCGCCGCTGGTTGTTATAAAATGCTAATACGCGCAGCAGCTCCTAGACACAGAAAAAAGTGGAAAATGCTCTGAAGATTGAATTATTCAATTATTATTGGCCACGCCCTACTCACCACGCGATATTGATATCGCCGTCTCAGTCGGCGAACTCACCACACTGGAAGCGAGCGAGCGAGAGGCCATCGAAAAAAGAAACGGAACAGTTAGCCAATAAAAATGGTGTCGCTGCTTATGGTGGGGCAGTGAGCTAGAGCAGCCGGTTTCTGAAACCACCACCGTGTCTGTGTGGTGGTGTGTATCTGTGAGGAGCAGCAGCAACTGCGGCAGCCGAGGCAGCACCAGCAAGTGGTGCGGCAGTTCATTCGCAGAACAGACGTGATCTCAAGAGGACGTGTATCTCTCAGTGCGCATTTTGTCTCTGTTGGAAGTAAAGACTTCAGAATACTGTCGCCGCGAGTATCTGTGTGTGGGAGATCGAGTGCGCGCGAGTGTTTGTGTGTGTGCTTAGCGCGTGTGATGAACGAGCGCATTAATTAAAAGATAATCAAAACAAATTAACAGCACACACTTGTTCCAATGAAACAATAACTGTAATACGAAAACAAAAGCAGCCAGCCAGCCAGCCAGCAACCCGTAATCGAAAAATCGAACGAAAGGCTTTATGTTAAAGCTCTCCAGCAAGCCGACCCCAGCGAGCATGACAGTGACCGGTCTGCGCCAGACGATGACCAGCCCCACGGTGCCGCCGACTAGCAACACACCCGCGGGCAACATCTCCAGCAGCAGCATCACCAGCATCTCCAGCAGCAACACCAGCACCGGCAGCACCACCGGCATGGGCAGCCTCAGTCCCAGCCATCCGGCTGGCCTGCATCCCCTGACCAGTCCCACCTCGCCGTCGGCCTTGCTGCTGGCCCACCAGCAGCACCTTCTGGCCCAGGCCCAGCAGCAACACCAGCAGCAGCAGCAACACCAACAGCAACAGCAGCAGCAGGCCGCTCTCCAAATGGCAGCCGCCGCAGCTCATCCGCCGGCCCATCACCTGCACAAGACCACCTCCCGACTGAGCAACTTTAGCGTGGCTTCGCTTCTGGCGGACACAAGACCCCGGACGCCGCCCAGTCAGACGGCGGGTGACGGACCCACGAATCTCTCCAGCTCGGCGGCCACATCTCCCGTTTCCCAGGCCAGCAGCACGCCTCCGCCGACGGCCAGTGCAGCCGCCTTCCATCCCGCCGCCGTGGCCCACCATGCCCACTTTCTGCAGGCCGCCCATGCGGCAGCAGCGGCTCATGCCCAGCACCAGGCTATGGCCGCCCAGCTGCGACATCAGCAACAGCAACAGCAGCAGCAACAAGCCGACGCCAGAGCCAATTCCCCGCCCGCCTCCACAAGTTCCACGCCCAGCTCCACACCTGTGGGACTGTCCGGCCCGGGATCCGGCACCGGAGCCAACGCTACACCCGCCAAAAACGAACGCCACTCTCCGCTGGGCAGCCACACTGACTCCGAGCTGGAGTACGACGAGGAGCTGATGCAGGATCACGAGCACGATCCCGACCACGACGAGGAGGAGGACTCCATTGTGGATATCGAAGACATGAATGCGGACGACTCGCCGCGGTCCACCCCAGACGGCTTGGATGGCAGCGGCGGTGGCAAGTCCCTGGAATCTTCGCACGGCGTTGGAAACCCGCCGGGCTCGCAGATGCCTTCCACGATACTTTCGCCGGCGGCGTTGGCCTCCGGACATGTGCCCATCCGCCCGACTCCGTTCAGCGCCTTGGCGGCCGCCGCGGTTGCCTGGACGGGAATGGGAGCGGGAGTTCCGTGGCCGGGAGCCCGACAAATGCCACCCTTTGGGCCGCCGGGTCTGTTTCCGGGCCAAGGATTCGCAGGAGGTAAGTGTCGCTAAATGTTAAGTTATTTCTTTGTTTTTTATGGCTATTGTTTGGGAGGCAAAGTAGGAAATGAAAAAGTTATCAGCGACAAGTGCTTGGGCGGCTAAGAAGGATTTAGGAAGACAGGGCTTTCTTATATATTATTATATATTCTTTCCATTTTCCAGTCATTGAAATTAAGTAGCCTAGGATCATATCAGTAATCTCAGAGCATCTCTAGGAGCAAAATTCGCATTAGCCAGAACAGAGATATTTAAAAGCGATTTATTTAATGGAGGTATTCCACTGGTACACCCCCGCCTCGGCTGCCCCTTGTGGCAACTTTATCTACACCATTTTGTGTCGCATTTTAATTCAATTAACTGCTGCCCCTCGCCTTAATTGGCATCGATGGACCGAGGGCCGCCTCCCAGCGAACTGCGGGTGCTCCATCATGGCCACCTCATCATTATCATCGTCGTCATCGTCATCGCAATGATCGTGACTGCAGGCCGTAGTCAAAGTGCGTGGCAATTATTATCGCGGGGCCTTAAATAAAACAATGAAATGTGCCTGATTGCTGGGCCCATTACTGGATGATGATGGCAGCGTCGCGTCGGTTTTGATTTGCCTCAATTGGCTCTGTCTGATTATTCATTGCACTCGGTTGCCACCGTTTTTTTCGGTGTTTTCCGGTCTAACAGCTAGCCAGCCCCCCTTTTTTCGGCCGCCGAATGGAAATCTAATAATAAACGCATAAAAAGCCGACTGTCTAACTGACTGACCAGACTAATTGAAGCGAGTCTAGCGGGTTAACTAACCGATCTCTATCTGCATGCACAGTTCACACTTTGCCTGCATTTCCTGGACTCCCCAAAGCCCCACAAACACATATTCTCAAAAAACTAAGGAAAACACCCGCTTAAGTCACACTTTGATGCCGGACTGACATGTGAACTTAAGTCGGCCGACGCGGACTTTGCATTTCCGCTTTTTAAAGTTGCCCAACGCTCTGGGTTTCTGGGCAAAAAGTTTGGCAAAAAAGTGTAAATTTGCTTTTTATATGCAGACATCCCACAAACAATTGTTCTTGTTTCAGTTTTTTGTGGGCTTGCGGTCTGAATGTTTCACTTTTTGCTAGTACTTGTTAGTACATTGTTTTATAAAGCTGTCGGATTGGCAAACAAAAAGAGCCATGAAAGGGCGTCGTCTTTTGGGTGCTTTGCAGGCTTGCAGGTTTCCGAAGAGCCAACGATTGCCGAGTCTATATAATAATATTGGAAATAAATCAATCTTAGTGTAGACCATCGTATCTAATGGCCCATCGGCAGCCACTTGAGCTATATCTTTTGTTCGGCCGAGATGAATAAACTATTCCAAACATTTGTCGCTTATTTTGTCATTTGGCTGTCAACTGCTGCCTGTCTATATAAAATATGCCCCGAACAACTTCATTTCGTTTCGTTTCATTTGGCAGCTGTTTTTTTTCTGTTTCTGCCTCAGGTTGAGCTACAGGTTCAGGTTCCTGTTCTCCTGCCTGCAGCGTGTCTCATTAGCGCAGCAGGTTGCTGTCTTTTGTGAACTGATGATCCCCTTTTCAGGTTTCCTTCTGACCTGGGCCGCTATCTTTTGCGGCATTATGTCAAGTGTTAGGTACTTAGTGCCTTACGGCCTTACGGCCTTAGTAGCTCCAGATAGAGGTTGGAGTTGTATCTTTTGGCTACCGTTTGTCGGCTCTTTTCGATTGCATTTTCATGGCCTATTAAATGAAACTACCTCCGATTAGACTTGGGAACACACACACGCTCTGGTTGTTGTGTGGCCGTGTGGGGCTTGTTCTTGTTTTTTTTTTGCCGGCTATTTGATTAACATTTCGTGTTGCAAAATAGGAATTCCCTTTTGTGCCTTCACAATTTAACTAATTGCAAGCGCAGCCGAGTCACGTATGCACCACCCCCCTCCACCCACAGTTCTTCACCCTCTGGCGGCCTCCACGCATTGCAGCTGCAATTCTTGGCAGCCATTATAGAAATTAATTTTCAAGCTGAACAAACGAGCAACAACTTGGGAGTCATTACATAAATACATAGAGGCACATACAAACAGCGCACGCAGACAAATACCAAACGCCGATGGGCGAGCGAGACGGAGCGAAAACTTGGCTAAAACGGTGGGTGTGGCATGTCAGCTACGCCCACCCGAAACACGCAATTTTCAACAGCCCGGCCCGGCAGCAATTTAAACGTTGACAGACGGCTGCTGGACTGAGAAAAGGCGTCGGAAAGAGGAGTAAGGGAGTAGCAGAGGCGTCCAGAGAGGTAGGAGTGGCTTAGAGGGGGAATTTGCATGCGTTTTAACACCATTTGCAAGGCTCGGAGCCGAGAGTCAAAAGCTAAAATAATATTTGCATTCTGCACGCCATCTAACGTGCAAAGGCTGTACTAAATACACACATGCAACACATCGAGGGGGCCCGAAATAGGTGGGGGCGGATGAGGCATGGAGCGGGGGCCCGTGTGGCGGCGCAGACATTTTGATGTATGTTTTGGTAAATAAAATTTATTTGCATTAAATTACCAAGCCAGACAACCCGAAGGTGATGGCATGGGCTTCCAGGGGCAGCTTAAAGAGGGGGTGTAACTGCAAGGTGTGTGTGTGTGGATCCATGAGGTTGAGAAATACGTTCAGACAACGGCAAGCATTTGCTAAATATTTGTAGACAATTGGTAGTTCAACTAATTTGAACTGCTGCTGCTGCTACACACTACAGATGTTGCTGTTTTGGCTGGCGATGTTGCTGCTGCTATTGGTGTTGCTGCTACACCTGAGTAATTAAATGGCATTTGGCACTTGTCATAAGCAGTAGCCCAACCCACGGGCTATCTGGAAACGCTTATCTTGCCCAGAGGCAGCGAACTTCATTGCAAAACAGCTCAAATGGATAAAAAGCTAGCACGCAATGTGACAAGATTTCCCAAGTGTTGCAAGTGGGCAGTGCAGCTACATGGAGAAAAACGATTTTCAATTTCCAATTTCCTATTACCATTTTGGTTTAAATCAAAGCCTTAGACCCCTCGCTGTGTAAGCTAAAGCAACAGGTTATTAACACGCACCTGATTAATTAATTGACTCGTTTAACCGGTGTTAGGACCAAGTCCCGGGATAACACGTCCCTTCGGTGCCCTGCTCGTGGCCCAATCATCCATTTAGCCGGCCAGCTCCTATTTGGAGCTAATTAAAATCCCTCATTATGAAATCGGCTCGCGCAGGACAGACATTTCGCCAAAGGCCCCAGAGCTGTTGCCGTTTTGACCGTAAGCGTGTAATTGCATTAGCCATCCAGCCGGCGATCTGACCATTTGGCTTCGGTTTCCCTCCGACCATATTGCTCAACAGCGCTTTTCACTGCAAAAACTCAGTGCGCTGGCTCAGTGTTCAGTGCTATGCGAAAACGCTTTAATGAAGAATTAATTGCCAGCAATTTGCACCGCAAATCAATCGAACGTTGTCACCGCCGGCTATATACAGCTATAGTCACCCTATGGGGAGGCGATTGCTTTGGATATTTGGTATTGCCATTGCTCCAAACGATACGCGTAAATTTCACAATTGCTTGTTGCTTGTCTCATTTGCTGCTGCTGGTGTTGTTGCTTTGGCTGGTCTTATACGATGTCTCGTCTACAATACACCGGAGAACTCAAATTAATTGAAAATCCATTACAAACATAGGCTAAATGTCACAATTGGCGTTTGTGGCATGTATTCGCTCTGGCAATGGCGACGTATTGCCCCAGCAGCAGCAGCAGCAACATCGCAGCAGCAACAACAATGCCTATAAAAGAGCAAAAAGGCGAAAACAAGTCTCGCACTCTGGTTTCAACGTGCGTCTCTATCGCTCCTTATACACAGAAAAAAATTATTTAATTCAAGTGATATTAATCGGGATTTTAGTGACTTGTTTCTCTTTTAATATGCGACTTTAAAACACTGTCATTTAATTTGTAATTGAAATAGGTACAAGTTTTCTCTCAGTACATGTTGCTGCAGGTTTTGTAACCAGAAAAAGGCATTCCGTGTTCAATGGGCGGGGCAGCCAAGAGGGGCGGAAAATCCAGCTCACTTGCAATGGAAACCCCATTCCAGCAATTTAGCGACAAATGAGCAATTAATTTTGAAATAAATGCAAACGGCATACAACAAGGTAAAGAAAACCATGATCCGACCACGAATGGCATATAAATATTGAAACCACCGGAGAATATAAATATTATTGTAAAGAAACAAAACAAAAATGGAAAAATTAAAATGAAAATCGTAAAGTCGTAAAATCAAAAACCTGTGACAAAAGCGAAAAAAGGCTGTAAAAGTTTGGCCGCCTCGTTTATATGCTAATTTGGCAACTAATTTATGGTCAATACAACAAGAGCGACAACAAAATACCAAACAACACAGCCAACAACACACCAAACAAAACAAAATCAAAACCCAAACTTAATACAGAATGCAAGCGTTAAAGAGAAGGAAAATGATGGGAAATAACAAAATATCTTTATATTTATAGAGGCAAAAATTTCTGAATATTGCTGCTGTCTCAGCCTCTGGTGATCTTCATTATAAAGTTTTGTGGGGATATCTGGGGCTCTGAATGCATTGGTGGCTTTATCGGGAGTGTTCACATTTCGTTTCACCTTGTTAGTGGCCATACGAAATGCTTTTACGACCTGCACCACAGATCTCAAAACTGAATCAGAAACAGAAACCAAGGCAGGCACACAAATAAGTGAAATTATATGCATATCAGCCGATAAGTCTGGGGCATTAACATAACTCTGACATGTCACACTAATTACTTAATGAGCCGGTTGCGCGTTCAAGTTCTCCCATAAGCCGGAGTTGATTATTAGTTTTGATTCCGTCGCAAGTTGGATTTTTATGGTCTTGTGGGGCGGCCAGAGACATTTATTTGCTTATCGGAAACATAACGTGCCACAAAATGTGTGTGAACACATCAAGTTTTTAAGGAACAGCGAATTACAGCGATGAGTTCTTCATTTGTGAGATAGTACACTGAAAGAAGCAATCGAGATAATATGAAGCGATCTTAATTGATTCTTATTTATGGTATTGCAGTGAGTCTGAGTAGTCCAAGGACTTTCAGGCTCTGTTATTGTTGTTTAACGCTTCGTTTCCCATATGCAAGGCATAAAAAGCAATTACAAAAGCCTCCAACTTGGCCACGTTTGTCACTCGGCAATTTCAATTTGTGCAATTTTGCGTAAAATTAAAGCGTTGCATATCATTTGCATTTGTCTTTATTTTGATCCTCCGGCCCTGCTACTCAGCTTCCTCAAAAACAAAATGCCCAATAAATTACGCGTGCCTGTGGCTGCTGGATTTAAGGGGGTATAATGGAGTGGGACCTGGGACTGGGTTGGATTGGGAAGATCTGACCCGGACTGACTGCATCTTTAAAATGCCATTTGCATCTTTGTGGCTTTGGCGCAGCCCCGATGGCAAGCTCATTACTTTCATTAACAACACTCCAGGCGAATGCCAAGCGGCATGCAACTTGCAACCAACAGCTGCTGCTGCCGCTTCCAGCCCACTCTCCCTGGGATTTGTAGTCTTTATAAGGCCTGCACGTTTCTTCTGCTGTTTTTTTCTGCTTTTTTTTTGTGCCTGTGCGCCTTTGTTTGCCAAAACAAAATGCCCAAATTAAAATTGTTTTGCTGTGGAGAGAATCGAACTGAGATATTGTTGGGGCATGGAGAAGGGGTGGGAGAGGGGAGTGGATCCACTCAGGGAATGCATTTCCCGTCGCCGCTGCAACTGCAACTGCTGCTGCTGCTGCTGCTGCTTTGTCTGACAAATAGTTTAGACAGCAAATTTATTGGCCACTTAAAGGAGTAATTACCGTATATTGTTGCCGCTGCCTCTGTCGCTTTTAGCCAATTGACAAGGCCAAGGACAGCCGAGGTTGACAGGCCGTTTCATTCAGCACTTGCCGCCATTCGGTTGGCTTTTATTTCTACAGTGAAGACTGAATAATATAGTATTTTTATATTATTTAAATCAACCGAACACCTGACTTATCCACACCTTCTTCTCTCTCCAATTTTAGATGCCAACGAACCCCCAAGGATCAAGTGCAACCTTCGCAAGCACAAGCCAAACCGGAAACCGCGCACTCCCTTCACCACCCAGCAGCTGCTCTCGCTGGAGAAGAAGTTCCGGGAGAAGCAGTACCTGAGCATTGCGGAACGGGCAGAGTTCTCCTCCTCCCTCCGCCTGACGGAGACGCAGGTGAAGATTTGGTTCCAGAACAGGCGCGCCAAGGCCAAGCGCCTGCAGGAAGCGGAAATCGAAAAGATCAAAATGGCGGCCTTGGGCCGAGGAGCGCCGGGTGCCCAGTGGGCCATGGCCGGGTACTTCCACCCCAGCCTGATGCATTTGGGATAAGTGGCGGCCCAGTTGGTGTGCGAGCACGATCACCGCCAGGATCTCGGTCGCCATCAACGCCCCATCCAGAGCCATAGTCCCAATCCTGGTAACCAAAAAGCCGCCGGAGCTGCTGGAGCGGAAACCCCCAAAATTTTGCTGTGATGTTAGCGCATTTTATGTTACGATACCTTCAAATGTTGTTTCAAATGCACCCTGTAAATACGTTAAGTGACGAAAGAATCACAATATTAACCAACCCAACTCTGTATATATCGAAAAGAAATGCAAGCAGAAAATGTTTCCTAATTGTACATAGAATCTAGCATGTAAACACAATCAATTACGAGTTTCGTTTTTACATTTTTGTTTTCGGTTGGAGGGAAGCCAACAAAATCAATTGACAAACAAGAAATATCATTTATTTATTCGCCCAACTCAAGTCAATAAGCGTAAAATCAAGATAAACTTAATTGATATTTGATTGTATTGTAATTTGCATTGTAAGTCAGTCTAGCTAAAGGATCGATCGTGTATTTAAAAAATACTTATAAGCATCTAAACTAAACTAATCTAAAGCTACAACTATGCCGTTAAAATTACATTATTATAATACCACAGACCTATAAACATAGTTCATACATCCATAATATATTATGAATACCATATAGCGTTAATCCTCTGTAGTTGTTTAATCATAAATCATAAAACAAAACAAAAAAATGTGAAAAAATAATACAAAAACATTTAAAAAGAGAGAAAATGAAGAATCATACAAAAATCATTGAAAAAATATATAATTATACAAAAATTTAACAAAATCGTTTCTCTTTATTCGAAGTATGGTGGAAATATTATTTATTCAAAGTAATCAGACGTTGAGTCATTCTTTACGGAAACAGTAAGTATAGTAATTGCGATAAGAAATTCAGATTAAACTTTGATCTGCTGTATAGGTCTTTTTTTCCTAGAAACATGAATAAAAGTGTGTAATATATATTATATGAATTCCTCTCATTTAATGCTTAATGCAACAAAGTATTAACGATCTTGGTAATGCGAATGACGACCTAGTTGAATGCCTGGCAAAAAAAAACATTATTATGATTAGAGTGCGAAGTGTTATTTTCAACTGAACGGTTGCATAAGATCGAACGGCACTGATGTAATATATTTATTGAAATTACAAACCCATAACGAACTAGGAATGGCGAGTGTTTGAAATAGCAAAGCACTGGCCACAACGAATTGATAAAGGAAAAGTTTTTTAGAAAACATGGGCGCTTATATCATCCAGTATTGGCGTGAAATTGGAGTACTAATATGGACAATTGCATAATAATCTGGAAATTTCACAACTTTTTCTTTTAAAAATGATTACTTTAATAGGAAAGAGAATTAGCGGGTGTCTGATAGAAGCTGTCAAGCTCTTATCAATTGGCAATTAATATTTAATTAATCAGGCAAGCGGTTGCCGAGGAGAGGAGCCGGCCCATATGGCGTATACGCAATGCAACTCATTTACTCAATCGCCGAGTGGCCGAGTGCTGAGGTTAGACGAGCAATCAACGAATTAAGATTACAATTGAGTGATTATAAAATTGTTTGCATTATAATTTTTATTCCTGCGCGATTTGTCGAGTGTCAGGCGGGGTTCAATAACGAGTATGTTTTTTTCATTGTTTGTTGTTGACAGTTGGTCGAGCGTCAATAGTACTATAGCTATAAAGCTTCATAGCTATGTGGCTGCACGATTCGTTGGTGTTGCTGCCTTTGCTCGCTCTGACGCTTATCGCATTGAATTAAAACCCAATTAATTTAATTACAAATGGAAATAACACGCCGTCGGCGTCAGCAGCAGCAGCATAACCGCAGTAGCGACAGGAGCGGCGAGCAACACGTCAAATAATTTAGCTTTTTGATTTATTTACGAACGGCAAACAAGTGTTGGTATGCCGGGTAGGTGTGATTGTGTGTATTGGTGCGTGTGTGCTGAATAAATAAATTAAAATATTATTTGCCAGCTTATTGCTGATAAGAGCGGAAAAAATTCCGCGAACTATGTGGGTCTAGCTAAATATTTGAGAAGTGAACTTTTCACTTTTTTAGCGTTTAGGATTTTCCCAGCTTCGCAATGGGATATGAAATAATTTATTGGCTCATTTAATTAGGAACTAGGGCAGCCAATGTATCACAAATTGATTTGCCAAAAGTATACCTAAGTAGGCCACCTAATTACCACTGGGCTAGGGTATCTAATTGTCGCCAGGCCACTTGACCCGTTCAACCTTGCCTTGTTAGCAATTCATACAATTTGAATATAATTTGTTAACAATTAAAATGCAATCGTGTGATATTTTATTGGGTAGCAATAAAATAATTAATTTAATTATGCATTTATTATTCATCAAATATTGATAAATGCGTTCGCCAATAAAGGCGGAGAATTCTCCGCGGCAGCCGTGCTCTTTTTATCTCGAATGTCAAATCGATTGTCGCCGCAATTAATTACGCGTATATAATTACAATGCCTGCCTACGCTGACGCCAACGGTGACGCCCAAGCCCAGAACTGAGGATTCGGGCATGGGCATGGGATTCCGGGGGGCCTAGGGAGCCGGGGCATCGCTGGAGCTGGAGCTGGTGGATCGGCGGATCGGCAGATCGGAGTGACTGGCGAGTGGGGGCCCCTCGTCTGTTTATTAATTAGGCTCGGCTACGCCTTCAGGTAGCCGCAGGTGGCGCTGGCATGCAAAACGCACCGCGCCGGAAAGTGCAATGCGTTAATCAAAACGTAATCAAATCATTTGGCAAGCAGTAACAGCCTGAAACAGAAACTGAAACAGGGACTGAAAAGAGACAAAACTGTATCTGAATACACAGTGAAAGAAAATTAATAAAAAATGTAATTAAATAAATTTAATTTAAACATATAGAACCAATTATTAGATATACCAAATATGGAGAAAACCTATAAATAAATATTTAAACTGATATAACAGAATAATAAACTATGACCTATATATAAATATACGATATTATTTATAACCCTATATATAAATATAAAAGAATATTAAAACATAACCTTACCATTTTACCAATCTTAACCTAAATCATATATGTCTCAGTAACACCTCCAATAAATAATAAAAACCTTCAACTAAAGTAAGCCATGCTATTTTTTAAGTGTAAGCCATATCAGGAAAATGAGCTCCATCGGCAGCACAATCAGAGCCTGGTCACATTGGTAGCCTGCTGCGATTTTGGCCGAGTCCGGCAATTAAGCTTTATATCGGGCCTAATGGACCGAGCGCCGCCTGCGCTGATTGCGGGCATTTGTTTGGCGACTTCGTCTCTCTTTGGTTTTCCCTGCTGCCCGCACGGTGTCCAATCAAACTGTATATATCCAGTATATATGTATCCGGGGACCCCACGGTGCCAAGTTGCCCCCTACCCTGGCACTGTGCCCTTACCCCGCCCCCACCAAAATCACAGCTTGATATTAACGCCCAACTGTGAGGCGGCGCATTTACAATGATAATATTTGTGTTCAAAGTTATCAATGGGCCAGCCGCCAACGGGCCTCGAATGGGAATCGATTGAATTGGTCGGCAGAGAGGAAAGAGGTCTCGCGCTGAGACAGAGCAGTTGTGATCCGATTACAACTTGATTTCAGTTGTTTTCGGTTAATTGATTAGCTGCAGACTGAGACTGAAAAAAAGAACATTTGAAGTACATACCCCGATAAGAGACAATTAGTAACTCGGGTAACTAAAACATCATTAAGTTGATCCTTTTTTGGTTTATCAGTATCTGTTATTTTATTAGATTTATCAAAAAATAATATCAAGAAAAAAAAGCTTCATTCATGGATATTTTACTCTCACCCTCTGGGAGTGACTGGAAGTGAAAATCCAAGCATAACATTTTTTAATTAACGCCCACACACACAAGCACATGCAAATGAGCTCATTATGAGCTGATATGCAAGATATACTGGATATACTCCCCCTACTTCTGGCCAGATTGTAGTTTTTCCAGACCAACACCAACAACTTCATCAACTGACAGCAAGTTCAACAAACCAAGATTTCCCCAACCCGCGGCGATAACTAAACGGATTCACAGAAGATTCATTCATAAAGTCAAGCGAATTGGAAATCCGTTTAGCTAACCCGATTTTGGCCAGACCCCGATCGTCTGCCCGGGGTTTTAGCCGTATAATCGTAAAGCCTCCTCCATGGAGCTGGCCAGACGGCATGGCGATCTGATGGAGTGGCTGGCCATTAAGTGGAATGGAGAGCGCTTGCAATTACCACGAATAAATTGAGGTAATTAGGTAATAAAAATAATGTTTTCACCTCCTTATATGAGGCAGCCGCAACAACAGCAGCTGCTCTCCATCGTTCTCAGAATTGTGGCAACCACCTGATAGGGAGAAAATACACTGCAAGTGCTCCCGTCCTCGGCCCATATGGAGCAGATAGGAGGGCAATTACTCGACTGATAGGAAAGTCAACAAAGATCTCTGGGAAAATTATACAAAACATAGCAGGTTATTATACCCTTGCAGAGGGTATTATAATTTTGGTCAAAAGTGTGCAACGCAGTGAAGGAGACATCTCCGACCCTATAAAGTATATATATTCTTGATCAGGATCACCTCCTGAGTTGATATGAGCATGTCCGTCTGTCCGTCTGTCCGTCTGTCCGTCTGTCCGTCTGTCCGTCTGTCTGTCCGTCTGTCTGTTTCTACGCGAACTAGTCTCTCAGTTTTAAAGCTATCGTCTTGAAACTTTGCACACACCCTTCTTTCCTTTGCACGCAGTATATAAGTCGGAACGGCCCGGATCGGCCGACTATATCCTATAGCTGCCATATAACTGATTGATCGGAAATGGTATAACTTTGGTGTTTTTAGAGTTAGAGAGTTCAAATTTGACATGTGAGCTATATTTGGCAAAACATTACGTCATGCCAAATTTCATAAGGATCGGCCGACTATATCCTATAGCTGCCATATAACTGAACGATCGGAAATGACCCAACTTTCGTGTTTTTGAAGATAGAAAGCTGGAACTTAGTACAGATTTAATTCTTGGTCAGTTGATCCAACCTACCAAATTTCATTAGGATCGGCCGACTATATCCCATAGCTGCCATATAACTGAACGATCGGAAATGGTATTCGGTAGAAATATCAACTTTCGTATTTTTGAAGATAGAAGTTTGGGACTTTTTTTAGATTTTGTATTGTAATAAATTGGATTATATATTCCTATTCCCATAGGGATCGGCCAACTATATCCGATGTTTGCGATATATATCCGGTTTTAACTGCAAGGGTATATAAACTTCGGCTCCGCCCGAAGTTAGCTTTCCTTTCTTGTTTTTAATTTAAATATTACAAAATAAGTGTACAATATTACAAAATAAGAGTAGTGTACAATATTTTAGAATAATTCTGCTGTTCTTTATATTTGAATTAATAATACAAGGATTATAGTAAAATAAAATATAGAAATATAAATTTAAATGAATACATTTTTATGTTTGAAAAATCTTCCTCCCGAACAGTTCCATAACTTCACCTTTCTAACAATTTTTCTCTCACCTCAATTTATGCAAATGATTCAGTTTCCACGGAACTCCCTGGCCGTCAATTAAATTTTGTTGGACTCTTTGCACGGTTTTACTTTGTTAGCCTTTCGGAGTAGACCGAGAAACATTTTTATCCATTTACTTTT